GTTCGGCACATTACCTACACTTGGAACATTTCGGGTAATAACTACACCCGCATTCTTGACAGGGTGCCGCACATCGATCGGCGTTCGGGATATTAGCTATCAAGATAAACAATAACGGGATATTCCAATATCGAACACCCTACCCGAACGGGTAGTCAGCAAGTGGAGGCCGCAGTTAATGCTGAAACATGGCAGCAGCAAGTGGGGGCATGGGTGCATACGTGGCAGGGGGCATAACCTACCAGATTCAGCCACGTGTCCAGCTTTCCCATCCCCATTTTAGTATAAATACCTGCATTGAATACATTGTAAAGGGTTAGCATTTTAATACTCAGAGCTTAGCAAGTAGAAATATTTCTCTTATTCTCGTATTCTCGTATTTACCTACCGTTCGGGTAATCTCAGTGTAATCGCAGAATTATCGAATACAAGTGGGTTCCTGAGTTGGACAATATCTCACTGTTTTATATTTTATACACTTTCCAAACCAACCCAATATACCTACAATATCCAAAGCTTGTGTTGGGCTTTCGGATCTTCGGGAATAAACCTCAACAACTGCTTTTCACCAAACACGTATTTTGTTTTCGCGTGCTGAGTTGTGTAATAATAAGAGAAAGTAAGGTTGAAATTATTTTTTTGACTGTATCGGTTGAAGTTACTGTAGATGACCATTTTAGCTATTTTTACATATAAATTTTTCTTTATTTATTAATAAAAATATATTTTTAAAATATATTTTTTAGAACAACAGAGTCTGCCATTACAGCCGCTCCAGCCAGAATATCATCAATTTGAACAGAATCAGCCGATTTTCGTGTTACCAAATGTGATCTTTATTTTTTTCCCACAAAAGTATGCTGTTAAATATTACTTTAAATTGGTTCTCTATCCGTTCTGCACTCTAGCTAGCTGTTCGACTAATTTTAGTTTTGTTTACGTACTTGTTTAAAAACCAGCTAAGTATTTGATTGTTGATATCGTTTAAATTGAATATCCTAAAAGCTTTGAAATGCGTGCGACTTTCAGAAATACTACTTCCGTCGTCCGTCCCATTTTATGTGTCCTAGTTTGACTTGACACGATTATTAATGAAATGGTTGAAAAAGTAAATGTTGTGATTGAGGTTTGAGTATAACAAAGTGAAATGTTGAAGGTCACATATTTATTTCCAAAAAAGGAAAGGAGAAACTTAGTTTGGGGCAACCCAAAAAGAAAAGTAAGACAGATAAAATAGAACGGAAGGAGTAATTTTTTAGGATTAGCCAAAAACAACTATTTGAGTTACTTTAACTCTTTTGAAAATTACAAAGGTAAATAAAAAAAGGGAGAATTTGACTTTGCACCCCATTTTCAAAATCATTAATATTTGCACCCTATTTCACTATATAATCATTTGACATTGCACTCCACTCTTTCACAATTTTTGAGTTAATGAGGTGCAAATATTAATGATTTTGAATATAGAGACCAAAGTCTAATATGGTCTAAAACATGGGGCGCAAAGTCAAATTCCCCCATAAAAAAAAACTCAAAAGACATTCCCAATCCTACCAAATAAAAATGGAAAATCTATTGACGACCCATTGTCGTTATAACTGCCACACCGTGTTTGATCGGTGATTATGTAAATAATTAAGTTTAAAACAGAGTCTAAATTCAAAATTAGACAACACTATTTTAAATTTCTTAAATTCTTATATGTGTTTTAAATTTCTTAAATTCTGATATGTGTTTAGACAAATATTCTCGTGTAGCTTTTTGGAGTGCCTAGTCCCAGGCTCCCCCAGCATTGCTGCCGGCCACCGCTCATCTGCCCCTAATGCTGATCTGCCGGCGTCAGCCCGATCGCCAGAATCCGCCTGCATTTTGCAGAATAGATTTGCCACCAGTTTGCAACGCCGCAACTCGCCACAGCTCTTGCGATCCACCAACGGATTACCACTGTTATGCCAGAGAATTAAGGGGCAAATGTTTAATTATATTAGAATATTAAGGGTAGAAAATTAATGTTTAGTCCTATTTAGAGAATATTTAAGTTTTGTATGTGTTTGTGTAATGATGATTAGAGCATCTCCAATGCAAAAACGTGAACGGTGCATACGTGGCATGAATGATAGTCAATTAAAAAATAACAAATAGAATATCTCTCTCCTTATTTGAATGGTCTTATATGTTTTTGGTAAGTTTTTCTCCACAATGTCAAGCACAATGTCTAGATGTAGACACCGTGATTGACATTGCAAAGAAAAACTTACTAAAAACACATAAAACCCTGGAAAGAAAGAGAGAGAAATGTCAAAAATTTAATATCTTGTGTCTATCTCTCTCATTTCACATGTGCACCGTGCACATTATAGCATTGACGATGCTCTTAAATTTAATAATCTTATATAGGACAATTAGATAGGATGAATTATTTAATTTGATGGCAAAATTGGGGGTTTTACTTTCAGCATTTCGAATGCGCTTTTCGTTTTTGGTAGAAACTTCTGCAAAACGATTTGGTTAATTACCACGGGATGACTTTCAATAATTCATCGTCCTCATTGTCCAAATATATCTAAACTTTCAAAACATCACGCGATGTGATTTGCTTTCCACGATAAACTCTTTAATGCGTCAAAGTTTTAGTTTGCCGTTTTTATCAATATGCTTCCCAACAACTGAAGTTTGCCGTTTCAAGATCAAGGTGTATTTTCTATCTCCGTAAGCAAAAAGAATTGCAGATGGATGGTCCCAGCCTAGAGCTGGATGGTAAGAAAATGAATCAAAAATACAACATAGTATGGTCCAACCTTAAGATTCTTAATTTCGTTCAAAACGATAAGCTTTCGGTAGATGATCTCAACCTCAATTTTTTTTAACCCGATAGACAAACCGCCAAAATTTATTTAATGGAAAATTTATTTAATGGAGGATACTAATTAAATTCATGGCAATTTAAGTGTGTGTAAACACAGTGTTAAGACCTGTGGTTCCATTATAAAAAGTCAACCTGATAGAAGAGTAAATCATGTCTTAATATAGCATTTTATTCATTCCCATGTTTTCGGTGTGGGAATTTAACACACAGAGATATACTTTTAAGAATACAAATGATTTTCTATAACTTAATCTATAGTAATTTCTGCGAGAATTTGTAGTTATTAAATATATTGACAATACAAGTATAATACAAATGTATTGTTAAAAGTTTACCATTGGCACAACCTGTTTGGTTGGTGAAAACTTTTTCCTTGTGATTTGCTATAACGTAATCTATTTATTCTAGAGAATAAAAAAAAAATACACGTTTTATCTAGAGAAAAATCTTTTTTTATTCTAGAGAATATACAAAATGTGTAATAGAAGAATTATCTAAATAGGAATCAAAATACACGTTTCCCCAAAATATAAGTATAATGATTTTGTTCTTAAAGTAGAAGAATAACGAATTGGAAGTACCCTATATTTTGCCAGAAGTAATTTTTTTGGTAAAAAGCCACTTTAATTTTTTTTTTTTTACCAGAAAAAGCCACTTTAGTTAAAAAGTAACGTTAGACTATTTGGTAAATGGTACTCCCTCCGTTCTTTATTATTAGTCCTTCTTTCCTTTTTGGGACGTTTTTCTTTATCTGTCCTCCTTTCCATTTAAGGAAAGTTTTTACTTTAAATATACCTTTATACCCCCACTTTTATTACCATTACCCCTTTCCCTTTCCTACTTTTTCATTTACCCACTACTCATTACACCTTTTTACACTACCCCTACTACTTTACTCTTAAAACCCGTGCCAAAGCCTAAGGAGACTAATAAAAAAGAACGGACTACTCATTACAATTTTTTACACTACCCCTACTACTTTACTCTTAAAACCCGTGCCAAAGCCTAAGGAGACTAATACAAAAGAACGGAGGGAGTACTTTTTGTAAAAGTATTTGGTTGAAATTTTATAAAATGTGAGAATGAAAGTTATTCTTAAGTATCCTCTTTCATATTCAATTTTTTAACTTTTTAATGAACAAAAATAGTGTGTATTGGAATCAATTTACTCATCATGAGTCATGACCATACAAGCCTCAGACATAAGACGTACTATTGAATAGACTTTGACTAAATTTGCCCCCCACTAACAAGTCATAGAAGTATCTACTGTATAAATCAAAGTTTAACATCCCATATAAGAAGATATAATTGAGTTGTCATACCTCTATCCTGATTTGAGAAATCTACAATTCTACCAAATTCAAAACGCATAATTAAAAAATAATACAAATTATTGATGTTGGCGAAACTTCATAAAGCAAGCATAGTCCGTCAACGTCGTAAGGAAATAAACGAGCAACAAGCCATACGGATGACAAGGTATGTCGCTTCATAGCCCGGGCAACAACCAAAGGATATTTATTTTAGCCTTGTATTCACATACCACTCCATCCCATGGCAGTGATTATGAAGTGGGTGTGGCCATTGGCCAATAACAAGTGAACAATAGCATAACACCCTCAACACAATGGCTACATTAATTTGAGAAGGTTAACGTCTTTCTCTTAGACTTATCCTAGTCCTAGATAGGAGCACATATAAAAATACCCGACTAAATCAGATTATACATAAATATATCAGACTAGATTAGACTAGAATTTAACCTTCCATACCTCAATTTCACAGTTGTAAAACATACAAAGATCTAACATCTATCACACTATACTAGACCAAATCAGATCAAATCAGATAAAGTCACCCAAATAACTATCAAAATTGGTAAAAGAATAAGATTCTTATAAGTGGGATAGGATTAGAAAATCAGAAAATAAAATACCGCTCATACCATCTCGCATATCACTTTTTCAACTATAATAAATGTAGGCAATGATCGAAGAAGATAAGTGGGATAGGATAATAGGAAATTAGGAAAACGAGAAAGCGAACATCGCCTTAAGTTGTTTCTACTTTAAAAGTCTAAGGTCCAGTTTACTTGGGGATTTCAAAAAAAGATGAAACAAAAATCCATATGAAACAAAAATATAATGGTCCCTTTAAATTATTCAATTCGATCGTTTAAAATGAGAAGCTTACATTAATATAAATGGATGGCAAATTAAGCTTGTGTACAGAGAGATATGACTTTTAAGAATACAAATGATTTTTCTATATCTAGATCTATAGTAATTACTGTAGGGAAGAAAAACACTGCCTGTCAAAGTAATTCAACCACAAATCCAAAACAGTCCAAATATACTTGACAAGAATTCTTCCAAGCTTGCAAGAAACTCACAGGATCCCGGTTTAATAGCAGGTAGCAGTGAATGACATCAAAAACATATATGGAGAAAGCTGTAAAAATGAAATGAAACCAAGCACACACAGAACACCATGATTTTTTACGTGGAAAACCCCTCCAAATCGAAGAGGAAAAACCACGGGGCCTCCATCCACCCAAACTCTTCACTAATCAACAAGGAATGAGTACAACAGAGTCTCCAAACATCAAATATGATGATACAACAGCTCAAGAAGTATAAAACTTCAACAAAGATACAAAGAGGATGGAAAAGGATTGAAATCACCCTAAAAACTGCAGGTCTGTTTGGAAATGATTCCAGACGATCTGACCGTCAAAATCCAATCTCCACCGTTCAGAATTTAGGTCTGTGTCTTGAGAACCTCCAGTGAAAATTTCAGCATAATCTAACAACGGATGCCTTCCCAATCGCGATTTCTCTGAAGCTGGGCGAGCAGCAAAATTCTGCCCAGAAAATATCTCTCCTTTATCTGTTATCTTGTTCTGTTGGCTGATGTCTTCCCTGACCACAGGTTCTATTTTTCAGAATCCATCCTTTGACAAAGTGAAGAGTCAAATGACTTAATGGGTCTCCATCAATTGGGCTATAATCACATAGGAGGGAATAAATGAGATAGGCCCAACAAATCTCCCCCTCCCGACTATGTGAAGAAATCATTCACTTTCCATCCCGGAAAGCGAACAACAAACCTCAAACTTCCATCTCGGTAATGCTTTTGTGAACATGTCAGCCCCATTATTATCAGTATGAACCTTTTCAAGTTCCAACAACCTATCATTCAAGACTTCACGTATCCAATGATACCTTACATCAATATGTTTAGATTTAGAATGAAAGGTTAAATTCTTACCGAGATGAATTGCACTTTGACTATCACATAGCAACACATATCTTTCTTGAGAGTATCCAAGTTCCTTCATAAAATTCTTCATCCAAAGCAACTCTTTGCAAGCTTCCGTGGCAGCTATAAATTCAGCTTCTGTAGTTGATAGTGCAACACATCTTTGTAATCGAGATTGCCACGAAACAGCTCCCCCTGCAAAAGTAATCAAATATCCAGAAGTAGACTTTCTTGAATCAATATCCCCAGCCATATCTGAATCAGTATAGCCTTCAAGAACATATTTTTCATTTCCAAAACAGAGTGACTTGAACTTCCCCGGAGATATCTCAAAATCCACTTCACTGCTTCCCAATGTTCTCTTCCTGGATTTGAAAGAAAACGACTAACCACTCCTACAGCATGAGAAATATCGGGCCTCGTACAAACCATGGCATACATCAAACTACCAACGGCTGAAGCATAAGGAACTCTATCCATCTCTTTCTTCCCATCTTCAGTTGAAGGGCATTGCTGGACACTTAGTTTGAAGTGACTAGCAAGTGGAGTGCTAACTGATTTTGCATTATCCATTTTAAACCTTTGAAGCACTTTCAGAATATAACTCTCTTGAGATAGCCAAAGCTTTCTTTCTTTTCTGTCCCGAGTGATCTTCACTCCAAGAATTTGCTTTGCTGGTCCCAAGTCTTTCATAGCAAAAGACTTGTTCAACTCTTGCTTCAACATATTGATCCTAGAAGCATTCTTACCAACAATAAGCATATCATCAACATAAAGCAAAAGTACAATAAAGTCATCATCAGAAAACTTTTGCATAAAAACACAATGATCAGAAGTGGTCTTTTTGTAACCCTGCTTACTCATAACAGACTCAAACTTCTTGTACCACTGTCTCGGTGCTTGTTTCAAACCATATAAACTTTTCTTCAATCGGCACACATGATCTTCTTTACCTTTAACCTTAAAACCCTCTGGTTGTTCCATGTAAATCTCTTCCTCAAGATTACCATGAAGAAAAGCTGTCTTCACATCCATCTGCTCAACCTCCAAATCAAGAATAGCAGCTAAAGCAAGCACAACTCTAATGGAAGACATTTTCACAACAGGAGAAAAAATTTCAGAAAAACCAACTCCTTTTCTCTGATTAAAACCTTTGACTACTAATCTAGCTTTGTATCGTGGGTTTGAGGAATGTTCCTCCTGTTTTAACCTGTAAACCCACCTATTCTTCAAAGCTCTCTTACCATTGGGTAACTTTACCAAATCAAAGGTATGATTATCATGCAAAGATTCCATCTCATCTTGCATTGCCCTGAACCACTTATCTTTTTGCTCACTTTCCAGTACTTCATCAAAGCATTCAGGTTCTCCCCCGTCAGTCAAGAGCACATAAGTGTCAGGATTATACCTAACAGAAGGTATTTTAGCTCTCGTAGTCCGTCTCATAGGAATTGGAGCTTCATGTGATTCCTCTGGCATATATGTAACTTCTGGATGTTGAATATCAATAGTTTCATCCTCTGGAGTCTGAGTGTCAACTGTATCCTAGTGTGTATCGGGCTGAGTCGTATCATCAACAATAGTAGACTCATTACGAGTCCCCTCATCACCCAAGTCAACAAGATCATCATACATCTGTGTTGCTGTCATCTGAACCTTCTGAATATCCTTAATAGTTTGATCTTCACAGAATACAACATCTCTGCTTCTGACAAGTTTCTTCTCAACTGGATCATATAACCTGTACCCAAACTCATCCTGGCCATAACCTAGAAAGATACATTGTCTAGTCTTTGCCTCAAGTTTAGACCGTTCATCTTTAGGAATATGAACAAAAGCCTTACAACCAAAGACTCTCAAATGATCATAAGAAGATTTCTTGCCTGACCAAACATTCTCTGGAACATCTCCATCTAAAGCATAAGCTGGGGACAGATTAATCACATGAACTGCTGCGTACAAAGCTTCACCCCAGAAGCTCGGTGATAGCTTAGCTTCAGAAAGTAAACAACAAACTCTCTCAATTAAAGTTCTGTTCATTCTTTCTGCCAAACAATTTAGCTGAGGAGTTTTGGGAGGAGTCTTCTGATGCCTTATCCCTAGTTTTCTGCAATAATGATCAAATGGACCACAATATTCACCACCATTATCTGTTCGGATGCACTTGACTTTCTTTCTCGTCTGCCTCTCAACAAGAGCTTGAAATTCCATAAACTTATCTAGAACTTGATCCTTGGTCTTTAAAGCATAGACCCACACCTTTCTAGAATAGTCATCAATGAAAGTCACAAAATAAGATGCACCGCTAAAAGATTGTACCTTTAAAGGACCACACACATCGGAATGAATCAACTCCAACACGCTTGATTTTCTGTGAGGAGAATTACTCTTGAAGGACACTCTGTTTTGTTTTCCCGCCATGCAATGATCACACTTGTTTAACTTTGTTGTACCAAGTCCAGAAATAACATTGTTTCTAATTAAACAATTAAGTCCCTTTTTCACTAATATGGCTAAGTCGTCTATGCCATAAATCAAATGAGACTTTGCTGTCCACTGCATTGATGCTGCCAGAAACGAAAGCCTGCAATAAATAAAGATTAGAAGACTTCTTCCCACGAGCCACAATTAATGAACCCTTGGAGAGCTTCCACTCCCCGCCAATAAAACTGTTGCAGAAACCATCATTGTCAAGTCTTCCAACTGAGATCAAATTTAGGCGAATATCTGGAGCATGTCTGACATCTTTAAGGATCAATTGAGTGCCATTACTAGTCTGCAAACACACATCACCCATGCCAATAACCTTTGACACACCATCATTGCCCATCCTGAGAACTCCAAAATCACCTGGAGTGTAGGAACTGAAGAACTCCTTTTTAGACGTAACATGAAGTGAGGCGCCAGTGTCTACTACCCAATCAGTGTCATGAGATGAAAAATTCATCACATCATCATGAACAATAACAAGATCTCCCGGAGTGGCAGCAGCAACGCGGTCACCATTGTTGTCATTTTTCACATCAGAATTGTTGCCATTTTTCCTGTCCTTCTTCAGTTTAAAGCAATGCTTCTTGATATGACCTTTCTTGCCACAGTAATGACATTCCATATCCTTAAACCGGGACCTGGACTTACTTCTGCTTTTGCCTCTATAACCCTGAAACTTGTTCTGGTTTCTCCCCCCGTCTTCAGTAACAAAAACTTCTGACTGGGATGAGTTTGTACCTGGAGTCCTTCTTCTAACCTCCTCATTTAAAATGCCATCTCTAGCATACCCTAAAGACATAGAACCAGCAGGAGCATTGTTAGTAAAAGAAGTCCGGAAAGTTTCCCAAGAATCGGGTAAACTGTTAAGCAACCAAAGTCCCAATATTTCTTCTTCAAATTTAATACCAACGTCAGTCATCTGATCAACTAGGCCTTGAAATTCATTAACATGATCCAAAACAGAAGTGCCCTCTTTATATCTCAAATTCATCATTTGCTTTAACAGAAACAATTTATTATTTCCTGTTTTAGCAGCATACATGTTTTCAAGGTTCGTCCACAAAGTTTTGGCATTTGTTTCCTTTGCTATATGATTTCTAACATTTTCTTCCACCCAACATCTGATATAACCACAGACTTGTTGATTTTCAAAACCCCAGACTTCATCAAATTTATTCTCAGGCTTAGTTCCGAATACAGGTAAATGGAGACTTTTAACATATAGCAAATCTTTCATTTTACCACTCCAGTTGTGATAATTCTTGCCATTCAAACAAATCATCCTACTAATATTCGGCTCCATATTTCAAACAAGCGGATAACACAGGAATAACTACAAGCTCTGATACCAATTTGTAGGGAAGAAAAACACTGCATGTCAAAGTAATTCAACCACAAACCCAAAACAGTCCAAATATACTTGACAAGAATTCTTCCAAGCTTGCAAGAAACTCACAGGATCCCGGTTTAATAGCAGGTAGCAGTGAATGACATCAAAAACATATATGGAGAAAGCTGTAAAAATGAAATGAAACCAAGCACACACAGAACACCATGATTTTTTACGTGGAAAACCCCTCCAAATCGAAGAGGAAAAACCACGGGGCCTCCATCCACCCAAACTCTTCACTAATCAACAAGGAATGAGTACAAGAGAGTCTCCAAACATCAAATATGATGATACAACAGCTCAAGAAGTATAAAACTTCAACAAAGATACAAAGAGGATGAAAAAGGATTGAAATCACCCTAAAAACTGCAGGTCTGTTTGGAAATGATTCCAGACGATCTGACCGTCAAAATCCAATCTCCACCGTTCAGAATTTAGGTCTGTGTCTTGAGAACCTCCAGTCAAAATTTCAGCATAATCTGACCACGGATGCCTTCCCAATCGCGATTTCTCTGAAGCTGGGCGAGCAGCAAAATTCTGCCCAGAAAATATCTCTCCTTTATCTGTTATCTTTTTCTGTTGGCTGATGTCTTCCCTGACCACAGGTTCTATTTTTCAGAATCCATCCTTTGACAAAGTGAAGAGTCAAATGACTTAATGGGTCTCCATCAATTGGGCTATAATCACATAGGAGGGAATAAATGAGATAGGCCCAACAATTACTACGAGAATTATTTAGTTATTAAAGATATTGAATATATATGTGTGTGTAAATATATATAGTTACAACCTGTTTTGTGCCTTGGTGGTGAAAGCCTTTTCTACTTAATTTCATCCGTGATATAGTGGCAGAATTGGGGCTTTTAAAATATATAAGTATAACGCAATTATTCTTAAAATAGAAGTAAGAATAACGTATTGGCAATACCCTATTTTTGTCAGAAGTAATTTTTGGTAAAAAGCAATTTTAGTTAAAAAGTAACCTTAAGACTATACGGCAAACAGGTTGATGGAGTTTATTCCAACTACGAGAGCTAAATCTACCGAAAGTATGTGAAACGTATAAAAAAATATGAATATGGCAGCTGATGGTACCATGGACTCGGACCATGGCCCAATTACATAATTCAGCCCCTAACGGGATTAGCCTAAATTAACAGGATTAGCCCATAAACGGGATTAATGTTCGATATGCCGCCAAGCCCAAATGGGATTAAGCCCACGATAGGAACCCACAGTCAGGCCGGGCTGAAGCAGACCTCGAGCCTGGGCGGAGTTCTAGTGAGGCCAGGATATCTCACGGGTTTACATGGCAGACCGTTATTCGACATAATTATTTGGCAACAAGAAGGAGACGATTAATGTTTGACGTCCAAGGCATGAGAGGAGTTCTATTTCGAGCAAGAATATAGTTCATTAATTAGCGTTTATTGTATTAGATTCCTTCTAAAATAATAACTCCTAAAGTCTATAAATACTTCTTGTAAACACCCTACCAGGGGACGGCCGATTGATCTTTCGGAATAAGGGTATACTACCTTACGCTGCCATATTGATATATTTTCATACGTTTCACATACTTTCGGTAGATTTAGCTCTCGTAGTTGGATTAAACTCCATCATTTTGTGCTCTCGTTGAGAGATGAATTTACAAGAAACGATGGTTGGATCGAACGGTCACAACTGTGTTGGCAGCAATCAAGGTGGGGATCGCTATAGCCAAGTTGTGATCGAGGACGAAAGTTCGAGGTCACGACGCAACGATTTCCGAAGGCATAATGACAATATCACGACAACGACATTTGGATTTTCGAGTTGCATTGGGTTGAGTTGCATTGGGTTGAAGGAGTTGAGAGCTGAACTCTCCTGGGAACGATTTGCGACCCAGTTCTTCTTCCACTTTCAAGCAATCGATGATTCCCCTTGGTTGAAAGATGATGTTCTGTTACTGAGTTTAACCCTTCCTAAACCTAAATCCATCTTTGGATTTTCGTTTGGAAGAGACATTCCTGCTCGAAAGAACCTAATTGCGGAACTACTGTTCATCGTCGCCGTGAAGATTGAAGTTCGAATATTTGGATTCAGACCTTCCAGAGAGGGTCGCCGGGATTTTGAGAAGACTGCTCTTTGTTCATCGATTTGATTTTAGCTTCTCCTTGAAGTGAGGCTCAAGCATTTCAGACCTGAATCTCCAAAATCGTAGCTCGCAAAACGCGATTGATATTTGGGGTTCTGTAGTTTTTGACTTCTTGCATCTGCTGGATTAGTGCTCTACCAGAGGTGCTAACTTACATTTCGAAGCTTCTAACTACTGTTTCACGGCGGGAATGGGGCTGAAGATGCACTGCTCATAGCCGACTGTCTGTTTGGGTTTCAACAAAGCTGCGAATTATGGTGAGGAAGAAGACCGTGGAGGCACCAACAGGACGTACTACTAGGTCCAAATTTTCCCTCCTTGCTGACATTGATGAAGAATTCCCAGTTCTTAAGCTGGCTGGGGCGGTTTCCATCGAGGCAGGGCATACGAATTGTGCAGAGGAGTCTCAAGCTAGCCTGGGAAAAAATACTAATGTTGCAGGGGTTAAGTCTGGAGTGAACTCTCCTTACAGCTATTCTGGGCAGTCTGCCATTCAGGTGGATGCTATGGATGCAGGAGCCTCCTCAGTTTCTGCCAATAAAGAGGTGAACATTATAGAAACTACAGCTACTCCCACACCTTGGAGTGCTTTGTTTAAGGACAATCGTGACCCTAGGCATGGAATCAAATTGAGATATGTCCCCCCCAAAGGAGATACTTTGGACTTTGGGAATCGTATATTGGATATGTGGGGCTATTGCCTAGTCGGACATTTCACCGGAAAATTCCCCGGACTCAAAGCGGTTCATGATCTTAAAGCTAAATGGGGTGTTAAATGCCTTGTGAGGTCCCACAAAAAGGGTTGGTTGATTTTTAAATTCCAAAATGAGGAAGATAGATCAAGGGTGCTCCATGAAGGACCGTACATTGTATTTGGGAAACTACTAATGCTCAAGGAACTTTCGGAAAATTTTTCATTTGAAGATGAAGAATTTCTTAAAGTTCCAATTTGGGTCAAGTTCCATGATCTACCATTGCAATTATGGAATGATGAGGCCATGAGTGAGGTGTCATCTATGGTGGGGATTCCAATAACCACCGATAAAATCACCCAAGAGAGGAGTAACAACGACTACGCTAGAGTGTTGATAGAGGTTGATGTCTCAAAGCCACCGCCACTATCGTTTCCTATACGACTACCTTCCCAAAAGGTATTCAAACAAAGTGTGGTTTATGAAACTTTTCCTAGTTATTGTTTTCATTGCAAAGAATTTGGGCACCACCCTTTTATTTGTAAGAAGTTATCAAAATGTGAGGTTGGGGTAGATAAGGAAAAGGAAAAACTTGAGGTTGTAGTTGATGTAATTGAAGAAGTTGGAGTTGTTTCAGCTCGATCAGAACTGACCGGGCCAAAAGAGAAAGAAAAAGGAGGTGATGAAAAAGAAAAAATTATGGTTGGTGCTGCCAAAAAGAAGGATGCTGCTACTCACCCGACCGGGCATCCTCCTGGCCCGACCGGGTCCAACGACCAGACTACTTCCCAGGACAATCCTCCTCACCTGACCGAGCTTCCCCCTGACCCGACCGGGTCCACTGGGCAGATTGCTACTCAGGGACAAAGAGATGGCGAGAATTTGGGTGAGGAGACCGAAGTTAATGACCCGGATACGGAAGACAAATCGGATACTACTAATTCTGAAAACCAGTATGAGACTGAAGAGGAACTGGAACAGGAACACCATGTCAAGAAAACAACCAAAAAAAGTAGGCGGAGAAAGGGTGAGACAGATGAGAAGTATAAAAGACGGCTTGGAAGAATGATGGGAAGAAAGATAAAATAGTTCTTGGAAGGGGAAACTACGGTTTCCTTATATGGACTTGACTTTTATTTAATTAGTGATTTGTGAAGTGGGGTTTGTCCCATTATCTTGATGCATTGTATCTAGGTTAGTTCATTCTAGCTTAGATAGTCATTTTGATTTGGATTGATGCATTGATGCATTGTAAAATGCTATTTTTCGGTTTCTAATATACTTACATATTATCATCGAAAAAAAAGAAACCAAATCCAAGGCATGGGGAATTCTAGGCGCACGGCGGCGCAGCCACCGCAATTCCACATGTCGGGCACCGGACACAAATCCCCAATGCGGATCTGGCGCAAGCTTTGGCGTGTTTAGCTATGTTACAAAGGGCGGTGGAAACCTTGACAACCGCGTTCCAGGGTTCATTCCTGATCCTAATGAGAGACCTCCTTCCCCTCACAGGGCTCCATCTATAATCCCGCAGGGAGAGGGAAACTCCCCTCAACGTCAAGGGAACTCTCCGCTGGTCCAATCTCAGCGCTCCCATCGGTCTAGAGCAACTCCGAGGATCCTAGTGATGAATCAGATGAGCGAACAAAGAGTGTCTGTTCATGAGAGGCTCTCTTCTAGGGCAGAGCATAGTGAGGGGGCATCTTCGGCTGCTATTTCGTCCCACCGACGCAGTGCGAGTAGGGGAGATCTCAGAGATGAGATCAACTCGAATACACAGGCCCGAAGGGATCGCCGACATCCTTTGCGTGTCCAGGCCGGCCATAACAACGCCGACCTCAGGAGGAGACTCGACGAGCTCAGAAGGGAGATGGAAGGAAGAACCGGTCTTGAGCATGGCATGAGAATTCCCGAGCCTTTTACGCGTTAAATCATGGAGGCACTATTACCGCATGGGTACATGCCATGCAATATTGAGGCCTACCGAGGAAAAATAGACCCTCAGCATCACGTTTCTAGGTACGTGGCTTACATGATCATGATGGGGTATGATGATGCTATAAAGTGTAGAGGTTTCTCGGTAACCCTAGATTGGCCATTTCGGGAATTGGCGCATGCATTCATGCGCGCGATTTGCTACTTCTAAAGACTAAGAAGAATGTGTCTCACCTTCGAGAGTCCTCCTCTCAGGTATCCCTACCTCTTTCTCTTCCTCCTAACCTTGAACAAGCTTTTCAAAAGATACAGGAGCATGAAGAGAACCTCAACAAACTGAAGAAAGAAGAATTCCCAGCCATGATGAAGCTCTCCATCAAATTTCTTAAGGAACAGGAGGCTCATTTTCAAGCTTTTAACCTCCTGACTAAAGACGTGGCTCAGAACTTTCAAGTTCTTCACAAAGAAACTTAGGAAACCTTTTGGAAACAAGGAGGAAATATCCAGCAGTTAGCTAAAGAGGTGGACACCACAAAGAAAATCCTGAAGAAAGTAGAAGAAGACGTTTGAGTGGAGGTGAAAACGGACATCAAAGACATCAAAAACACCCTCAACGCCATGTCCATTAAGGTATACGGCCTTAATCCTCCCAGCAAAGAAAAAGAAACTTCTGATTCTGATCCTAATATTGAAGCACTCTTCAAAGACACCCCTCAAAATGATGATGCCAAAAAGGGGGAAAACACTGAAGAAATACCTCTCTCCTCAAGACAAATAGCAGCACGGAAAGCAACAGACACAAGAAGGAAAAACAAAAGACTGCAAGAGGAGAAAGA